GCGAATAGGTAGATTTAAATAAATCCAAAGAAAATTTTGATTTCAATATCTACGGAAGCATTAAATTTGACTTGCTTTATTGAAAGGTCTTAGGGTTTGTTAATTCTTCATTAAGAATTTCTTTTTTTTGCACCGTACCGTGAACTTTACATTACTGCTATCCTACCTGATTTCAATCAATGCTAATCTCTTTCATGTTTCCATAAACCGACGTGCTGTAGAGATAGCAGTCACTTTATGTTTCCTTTTACACAGATACAATTAGATTTGATGTATCCTATAAAAAGACGTGCATTAACGCAAAAGTCATGCCGCTTCTGCACAGCGAGGCATGGTGTCCTGTGGATGACCCAAACGGTGCACGGAGGGTGGGTGGAGTTCAAATCTTATTTTCTCTGATGTTACTTGACAGAAAGACCTGTTAAAAAGTCTTTGTTGCCTTTGGTGATATAATTCTGATCACTGTTTTTCAAATGTTTAGATAAATCATGACACACAGTATATTCCATCGTTAAACATTATGAATTTTGTTTTGGAAGCATATCTTTCGGTTTACTTTTATTGCAAAGCTCTATAAGGTTATCAGCTGCAGCCTTGTATATAATAAACTTTTCAAAAAAGCTATTAAAAAGTCTGATATAGAGATATGTATGGCCGCCCGCCACAGCTATATGTAACACTGAAAAAATAACCTATGGATCGTCGACATTCCTCAAATAAATGTCTTAAACTTAATTAGACAAAAATCTAATAGAAAGACATTTTTCATGATTAAACTAGAACTACTAGGCAAGTGTATTTTAAATGGACTAAAATCATCGAGACAACCATTTAGGGGTAATTTTGGCTACCAAACAGTTCACCAAAAAGACTCATTAAAATTGTTGGCTGGCATAATTTCTCAATTAAGTTAGGCTCAGACGGTATACACGGTTGGTGGCATACTAATCGGAAAGTATGTTAATAAACTGCATTGAAAATGTTATTAGACTGTGCATGAGTCAATGTCTAATAAAGCACATGGCGCCATTAGAAGCATTACCAAAACTGCCTGATAGAAAAGCACAAATAACAGCAACTGGAGATTTTAGAACAAAATAAAATACCCCCCCCCCCACGCACTTGCAAAGAAAAAAAACTTACGGAGAGAAACTAAATAACAAAATGGAAATTACGAAGGGCGTGCGCATGTGTGCGCACAAGAAACCTCTTTATTACACAATGATGCATCTCTGCGTAGGTGGGCACTGCTCTCCTTTAATTATCACCATTGGTACGCCATATGCATTTTGAAATGAAATACAAGTTAATCTATCTTAAACGTTCTACTATTCTATCAGTGCCAGACAGATGTCCGTCACTGTCTGAATGAGGCATACAGCCGCATTGCCAAATTGCAAGCCACATGGACCAGTTAGATCATTTGTTTGTCAAGCCTACATACAGTTCAGTTTTTTAATCGTAGACTCTTATTGCAATTAGATTAGGTAAGCCTAAATGTTATTTCTTGTTCCAAAAACCAACACTATTTGCGATTAATCGTTTGCTAATTTGATTAGATTACTGAGCTATATGAACTATACAACCTGACTTTATGTATTATTTACTGTCCGTAAAGCTACCTCCCACACGTAAATGACACGCCGATCAAGGTGACTGAATTGGAGTTGTGGTATATGTAGAATGGGGTTTATGGGAGTCACACAGGGAATCACGTGTCAAGAAGGAAACTGATGGCATATTTCATGCACGTAGCATCAATATTAAGCAGTAATTTTCTCAAAGTTTTTCCCTTGGGGGACCAATTAAGTCAACTACGGGTGAAGTGGTCATTATTGCTCCTTCCAAAAATCATGAATACAAGTTACCTTCGATATTGACCGTAAATGCAAAGGTCTTGCAAATGCATGTGCTCAGTCCCAAGACCCCAAATAACTGTCAATTCAAAGTGTTACAAGACGATTGGAAAAACGGTCTCATATTTATACCAAATTAAGCGGAAAAGAACTTAATGTGTATACTGTATTCTTTTCTTTCTCATTTTAAACGGTCAGATGTGACCTTTTCTTATTTGTTTTATATATATATATGTCGTTTTGTTTGCAATAAAAGCTAATAAAAGCTGGAATATGTTATATGCGGTAAGAAAAAAATTAAAACATTGTCCCTCTCTCTTCAATCGGAAGTGCAACTGTCGAGGGAGCATCAGTGCATAATTTTACAACTTATCCATGTTTAGTGACGTAAACATAACACGGTATCGTGCGTTTATGAATAATCCTAATAGTGATGCGACTGGATTGTAACTTTATATCGGCATTATGTGGCGTGAAACAGGTCTATCAGGCCCATACAGTCACAAACGGAATAAAGAAATATTAACACGAAATAAACATGTTTAAGTAAAATAATTTAACTATGGTTGATACCCACAGTGCATAATGCACAAGAATGTCTTTTACTTTTTTGTACAGAACAATAGTTTTACATAATTAATGTTGTGAACTTCTTGCTTGAGAGTCGGCGGGAAATATGTACACAGTCCAAAACTGGTATTATATTTGAGTAAGCTCCTTAGTGGCGCAAGGTCATATCATACTGAAACACACATCCACCTTAAAACCATGCTCAGTTGACTGTGTCTATGTGAGATAAGAAATAGGACTGGGACCATCCTACTAACCCTACTCATCGAAATTGAACCTCTCTCATCTTAATTGAAAATGGGTTTTAAATCAGAAACAAGATATCTTCAATAGCAAGACGTTAAACGAGTGTTTTCTTCTTGATATCAAATGTCACTGCGAAAAGTATTCCTAATATAAACCTCAAACTTAATTTTATTAAAATGAATCTACTCGTCTCGTTTAACAGGATCCAATGAACGCTTTCTCCGAAAAAAATCTCACTCGTGATTTCTGAGTAGGTAATTTTTCTCTTCTATTCGCAAATAATTGCACTTATCATATATGCTGATTCCTTGTATGCATATGGCTGGGTCATGGTACCATCGAATGTCAATTAGTAGTGGTATTCTTCTAACATTTCAAACTTGACATTCTGCATACAAATTTGAGCGAAATCCAATTGCATTCTATCATTCAAAAAGGACATGGAGAAAATAAAGCAATCTATAAACCTTGCAGTCCGCTATGTGTTTACATGATCAAGATATGTATCCCCTATTGTGACCCTACAGATAACGTATCGGGAAGATGAAATTTTGTTTTTGAAGTGGGGGCAATGGATAGGAAACGCCAGAGGTAATAAGACCATACGATAACAATTCGCTCATCGATCTTTAACGAGGATCCATGATAACATTTTACAAAACAGTATCCCCGGGCAAAAAAATCCTCATATCCCTAATATACAAACAGCCGAACACAGGACCGTTTGATCCCGGGTCTCGGCAGCTCGTTGCTAATTCAACAGCTTTGTATTTATTTTCTGAATTTCACATCGATTGATATCTCCACTGTACAACTCTCATGCAATCATGCGATATTCAGAATTTATCGTCTGCTTTACGACCTTTTTTATTTGCCTTGGGGTATAATTAAGCGGCATTTAGTATTCAGCTTGAAAGCGAATTTTTGCCCCGAAATGAACGCAAAACGAGCATTCTGGTTATATGGGTTGGCCGTCCAATTTCGACTCAATATTCGCCATAGTACAACCAGTTTTCATTGGGGAAAAGCAGAAAACATTTAAATGCCTTAAACGAGGTATGTATTTGATGTTCTCTTTCGTATATTTGATCTCACAATTTCCCAAACATATCCTCTATAAAAATGCCGCCTCAAATACTTATATTTTTCTATTGTTGCACTGTAGATACCAGAGACCAATGCATTGCGTTGATTAAAAAAGATACAGACTTTTAAAAAAATTCTTTGACCAACCTATCAGCCCCCAATACCAATCTGCTAGATCCACAATCAACTCATGTCGACTTGCCAGAGCATGACAGAAAGTACCTAGATATGGCAGACAACATAAACCTGTGACACTTCATACCAATGCAGTGAAAACACGTGGTGTTCACTGACACAGCCAAGTACGCGTAACGGGATATTTGCGCTTACCGTGTGATCGGTTATATTCCCAAGACTGTAATAAGCTTCTTTTTTCGAGACATGCAACGAAACGATTCTTTAATTTTATGGAAGATGATCGTTTTATGTGACAGAAAATAGGTGAATGTGTCCGGTGGAAATTTCTTCTTTGGGCCTGCAAACCCGGAGATTTGATGTTAATCCTACGACTAAGAACAGGTTTGCTGCACGAAATGAATTCCACAAATTATTCGGAAACTTTATATTTGCCCTAATTTGTACATGTTACCATACCATATAACGTTACTTTCTAGTCTTTGCATTTTCTTAGTTATATTCTAGATCATAGTGCAGTAATTTATCTTCAACTATTATTTCCTTGTGTGATTTTTAAAGGATTTAGAAGGACCAACCGAGAAAAGTTTACATAAATTGTTATGTAGATCGGGTTGTAACACATTTTAAACTTGTCTACTTGGACATTTATTTAACAAACGTTACTCTTGTGACTTAGATAAATTGACGGTAAATGCAGTAGAATCTAGAAGCAAAGATCAATTATCGTTCGTGCATTGGGTGTACACGACGCAAATTAAAAATTTATTATGCCATGAATTAAACCTTGTTTTTTTTTCTGGACTTTTAGTTTCGGTTTTCTAGAATAGTGCTTTGTAGACTTATTTGTGGGCGGAGTTAATTTATAAATTAAAGTTTTAACAACAGTCTTGTAGTATTACAATTAGCAATTATCGATTCAATAATTCGCAAATTTATGGCTAATTGTGTTTCGTAGCATAAACAATGCACTTTTTGTCAAATATCTGAATACTAGGGACAGGGGCATTCAAGCACCATACTGCAAACGTTCACCTTGATATTTCACACAATCAGACAAATAAAACAAGATATGAGAATAACAATTACATATTGAATATCACGTACCCTTTCAATGACGAAACAGCGAAATGGGCCGCTTCTTTTGATGGCTGCAACACCCTATCTTTTAAGTTCTGAAACCCTCCAAAAGGCATCCTGATGTCTGTCGGTACCTTCGACGGTCAGTGCTCTCAAGTAAACGACAAAACCCAAGACGACTTTCAAGCCACTCTTACGAGTCTTCTATGGATTCTTTCGCACATTCCCTCAGTTTATTGAATTAAACGGTTGTAATTTAGTCTGTATTGAGAATGTCGATTCCCGCGAGATTAATTATCAATGCCTTCACTTTCTAGGAATTTTCGAAAACTATTTTAATCTGTTCACAGTGAAGGTATTCGTTCAAAGATCCTCCAGTCCTTTTCTTACTTGAAGCAGAATTCACGGCCTGCCCCTCTTCCCTCTGGCCCTCTATACCTAGACAAGATCAACACCTCACTGTGAGCGTGATAAGAATTGCATCATGGTCTTTCTATTTTCAAAAATTGATGCATCATTTTAATCTCCTGGTGATGTTGTCGACGTCACAGCGGAATCCTTCACACATGCGCACAGGTCTGCACTTAAGTTTGGCGTTCCGAACCAATCCCCAATTCCCAGAGGTCCATTAGTAAATGAAATTTCGCGATGCAATTGGCTCTTGTAATCTTGGGAGACCAAGTAATTATTTAGTTAACCACTGACTTCTTCATAATTCAACACTTCATACGATTATGACAAGACCTTGGTAAGTAATTAATCGATTTTTTTGGTTGCGACTTTGGCGGCACGCGCAGGAAGCACTGAGCGTCTCCCTGCTTCTGCCAGCCTAACTCAACATTTTCGTGCACAATAATCTCTACAACAGTATTGGAAATATTCGCCACGGAAGTGTACCCTTAAAGCGAGTGTTAATCGACAAGCAAGCAAATCGACGCACATCATCTTTTGAACTGATTAGGGAAGCATCCGTGGCTTATCGATCTTAATTAATTATCAGCTCATATAATAATGATTCGCGGGTAATCTCATTTTAAACCCTCTGTAAACCATCATGTTGACATATGCCTTCTCCCAGAGGGACGGTACGCAGAATAAGCCATATCCCTCTGAATGAACACTGTGTTGTACTGGTCTCAAGTACCTGTCATATACCCGTGTTTATCATATTTCATGTGTTAATGCAATCAAATGAGGCTAAATACAGGGTAATTTATGAATGTATCGAATGAATAAATGAATGACGGGAAAACATTCAAGTTATCTTAATAGTGAAAAGAGTTATTTTGATAATCGAGAGATCGTTATGGAAAACTTCTTTATTGGATCTATTGGGAGCTGAAATACAAAATTAAGTGAACAAGGGACATTAAAAGACATGTCGTTTGAAAAGAAAACATCAAATAAATGTTAGTTTTCCTTTCACTGAAGTATATAATCTTGCAAAAGCATTATAAAGTAACGGAAGTCACTGAGTACAGGAAGGTAAAAAGGCACAATGACATTCACTGCTCCTTAAACAACTCCATAAATAGAACAATAAAAACAACACATCAATAGAAAGTCGTTGTTTTATTACTCATATTTCTTTAAAATCAAAGACGCTTACTTAGATAACTAGGACTACGAATTGAGACATTTTAGTCAACGTCCTGAATTTGGAGATTGTTTGACATTAGCATGCCATCTTTCTAGGGCACTGCTTCGTAATAATATCAGGCGCTTAATGCCAAGCGCTTTGGTGGGTACATTCTTTAGTATTTGGGAGGACATTTGAACTTTGTAGACAACAAAAATCATATCGTCCCACATTTTTTGGTGGATTGATTCACGCTGATCGCTGCACTCGGCTGAGGCAGGGCTGTTTAATTGCCAGCTAGGCTTTATTAGTCGATTATCTCCAAACAGTGTGCAAAGACGTGGGTTATAAAAGAGGAACGTGTTCATTTTGTTGATGCCTTGGTAGCGAGTGTTTATCGATTATGCCTTACTTATAGAGCAATAAAACCTGCCCTTCTTTTCACAAGGTTGTGGATAGCGTGAAATATATCTGTAATTTTGTACAGGTAGACGCCCCTAAATTGCTGAACGAATTTCGTGCTTAATAACAGTATTTAAAGACTACAAGTGTAGACATTTGACTACAATTTGAAATTGGCCACTCTATTGTTTTTCTGTGCTGCTGCCTTGTCTGCTGCTGATGTCACTATAAATGACATTAAAAAAATCTTAAAACTTGGTTTCACAAAATGCTCTTTTCCAAGTGCATCTATATACCATGGCAAAAATTGTTGCGATGATGCATAATATTGATATTGCATTGTTTGAATATGCAGTTATGTCGTGTTAATGTCTGATGAGCTTATTCCTAAGCATGTGTTACAGAAGAGTCATCGTTATTTCCTGTGAAATAAAATATTTAATTGAAACTTTTGATCAATATCTTTAGTGAAAATAGACGCAATAACAACACCGTATTGGTATATAGGTCCTTGAATTTTTTCACAATCACAGAATGGTCTCAAAGTAGCCAACATTCAGTAGACCGCCCTCTGCTACTGCACCCCTTACATGTACTACAGGTAGTAGCTCCATTTACCACATTACAAGCGAATGGTGTAGCATACTGTACTATCCATTTCACATTTTATCCCCCCCCCACGTGTACTTTAAACATCAAACTCTCACCTGTGAGAGGGATTATAGAGTCAAAGTACCCTCTACCAGGCCCGCAGAAAATATGTGTATTCTTCTCTATCGCAAGAAAACAAAATCGCCGTCAATTCATCTAAAGACATATCTGTGAATATCTAGTGAATAATCAATCTGTGGCCCTGGTAGAGGATAGAGTCAGAGGACATATGTAAGTATGCGCGATTAAGGTAAAGGGGGTCAAGCTCCCACACTAACCAAATTATAGAATACTGATTATCTCATACCCAACTGCTGCGGGACCTCCATTTTAGCGTTTTTATCTTTTACGTCACATACAATGAATGTTTTGGTCGTCTTTGTTGATAAAATGGGACAACGGAGTTTGCCTTTAATATGGCATTTAATATTTCGGTTTGTCTACATTTGTGTTCTTAAGTACATAGCTTCATGTCTCATGATAAATATATAATTAGAAAATAAACAATATCATTACAAAAATAACTTTCCATTTTCTCGATTTGATGGGAGATATCTGATGTAACCCTATTGCTCAGAGTGAAGAGAAAGAAGGTCTGAATGCAAATATGCCAGCTAAAAGAAATGAGTTGATTGAAATTTCCATAT